TAAATATAAACTGAGCAAGACACATGCACATCCTTAAAAACATTGTTTTATGTCTACATTAAAATAAATTAACAGAGTGATATTCCCTGCATGGTTGTGTGTCTGTGTTGCCCTGCGACAGACTGGCGACCTGTCCAGGATGTACCCCGCCTCTCGCCCGGAACGTTAGCTGGAGATAGGCACCAGCACCCCTCCCGACCCCACTGAGGGACAAGGGTGTTCAGAAAATGGATGGATGGATGGATGGATGGATGGATGGATGGATATTCCCTAATACCAGGCCAGGTTGGAGATTTCTAGCCTTCATGCAAAGCTTACCAGCTTTTTATAGTTACTGGCATTTCAATATTAAACACAAAACCTCATATCAAATCAGAAAGACATTAGGCTAAAGTTCTTTCAAATTCCCAGTCTTCCCACTGTCTCGGGCGCCAGACTTTTCTTATCATGAACAAAATCTGCATTTTGCACACACACACACACACACACACACACACACACACACATATACACACACAAAATCTTTTAAACGAAAGCCAGAAAAGTATAGCACTCCCACACTCTCTGTAAATCATAAAGACTCTTCTTATCTTCTGATAGCTAAAACATGCAGACATTGCGAGCACTTGGCGAGCTCACATCAGTTACTCTGAGAAATAACTTCCGTCTGTGGAAATCGATGGTGGCTGACAAGACACAGACAGGTCTTGGCACAATGTAGTTATTTTATGAATGACATCTGGACAACAAGATCACCTGTACCAAGTGACCCTGCTGGAAACGATGAAGAACGACGGTCCACAGCGGATGCAAGGCAAGCAGAGCGGGAATTTTGTTTTTTTGTGTGCACTGCAGAGGTCGGCCTGCAGCTCTGTCAACAGTTAGACCCTCTGCACCTGGCAAAGTGAAGCTTGTTTATTCGGGGTCATCTGGTGACGTGGTGATTCATTGGACTGGTGTTGAAGGTCTTTCTGGTGACCTTTGTCTTTTTCCTCTACCCTGCAGGCTATTTGGCCTGAGATAAACTAATGAAAACGTTAAACCTGCTTCAGCCAGACTTGACTTTGCTGCTGAAGAGAAAATTTAAAAAGGAAATGCAGGAAAGTTAAATATTTCATAAGACCAATAAAAAGAGTTTTTTAAACTGGAAATGTCAGCGTTTTAAGAGGCATGCATGAACTGTACAATATGGCTGGACGATATGGATGAAAAACGGATCATTATAAAACCATTTCATATCAGTCAAAATGGATAATTAGGTTTTGTTTTAAATATCTGAAAACTGCCAAACTGGTGGCATGACCTTTCCTGTTTTATTCACAGTTTTCACTTCACTCTGTTGTTTATTTTTAAACACACATGAGGCACAGTGGTAAAACCTTAAACTGCTGCTGGGCAACTTACCCAACAGGTCGTTGCTAGGTAACCAAAGAGCAAGTGAGTTGCTAGGTTACCAAAGAGTGAGTGAGTTAGTTGATGCAACCAACCTTGCTTAGCTCACAGTTGAGCAGCTAAAGCCTTTCCTCTGCCTACATCTCCCAGAATGCAGTGGGGTTCTGGATCTGAGTTTAGTAACTATTATATATACTGAGTATTGAATATTCTATCAAATGTATTATCTATTGATATATATATATATATATTGCCCTGCCCAACTGTACAGTATATACAGGCCTGGTTTCTTCTTGCATTAATAATTCAATAATCAATAATAATCAATGTGGCATGGAGGTGATCAGCCTGTGGCCTTACTGAGGTGTTTAGGTTGTTTTAGCTGCAGCTTTCATCTGCATTGTTAGCTCTGGTGACTCTTATCTTCGCCTTTACAAAACTTTGTTCTCTTTAGGTCAGTTTACTGACCAACCAAGCACAGTGGTACCACAGCCATCAAAGCAGGTATTTAGTGTTTTTAGGATTGTGGGAGGTTTCCATGTCCTGCTGGAAAACAACATCAGTATCGTCATGTAACTTGTCAGCAGAGGGAAGTGTTAAGTGCACTAAAATTTCATGGTACACAGCTGCTCTGACTTTGGACTTAATGAAACGCAGCAGACCAACCACCCGCAGACAACGTGGCTCCTCAAATCCTGACTGATTGTAGGTATTTCAAACTTTACTTCATGCCTCTCTCATCAGACTCAGCGACTTTCTCAAATGAAACACTAAATTTACTTCTAACTGAAAAAAGGACTCGGACCCAGGAGCAGCAGTTTTTCATTATGGTTCAAGGTGACTTAACATGTGAGGATTGAAACCCACGTCCTGGAAACATCAGTGTTGAAACATTTAAATCTCCTCTAAACTCCTCAATCTTAAATTGACAATCATCTGCAACTATGTTGACTGTGCAGTTGTTCCTTACACTCAACTTTTCATTAACATTCTTGAATACAGCACTAAGAACAGGTGATTTATTCAGCAGTCTTTGTTACAATTGATGGTCATAGCACTACAGAATTTTACAAACCTTTACTTTTCCCAAGTTCTGTTAAAACCTTGTTCCAAAATAAATAATAAAAGCATTTTGTCTCTCTTAATTCCACACACAACACCGTATAATGACTTGAAAACATGTTTTTGGGAGAGATTAGTGAATTTTCCACAGGTGGACTCTAATGAAGCTGTACAAAGGTCTCAATGATGATCAGTGGAAACAGGATGCACCAGAGCTGAACTTTGACCTTCATGGCAAAGGCTGTTAGAATTTATGTACATGTAATTTCTTATGGGGTGTTTTTTATTGATATATCAGCAAAAATCTTTTCATTATTATTAATCACTTTTCATTATTTGATGCAGCTGTAACATAAAACGTGAACTAAATGGAGCGATGTTAATGCTTTCTGAACGCACTGAGAATTTAAATTTTCAGAAGCAATAGTCAAAATGAACAAAAAAAACCTCTTTAAAATATATTACTGTGTCTAAAATCTATAAAATGTGTTTCGCCGTTTGAACTGAATTACATAAATGGACTTTGACGTCTTTCTAATTTATTGAGATGCATATGCAAGGCTTTTTAACAACACAGTGAAGCAAAGGATTGTCTTTCATAATGTGCCTCCCCATTTGTTCTATAAAACAGAATCAGCCATTTTTACACATTTTATGGCTCATTCTTGTTTCATACTTTACACGTCAGCTTCCATCTGGGGAAAATCAGAAATGATGTGGCATGAGAAACACGAAAAGCTTCCATTTATATCAAACAATTGTTTCAGTTGGTGCAACATTTCTTCCAGGTGGGGCGACCTTTGCTTCCTGTTCCATCTGCACAGAAAAACCCAGCTGACATGTGTAATTAACAGCCACCGGCAGTAAATCATCTCCACTCTGGCAACCACATGTCTCCTGTGTTAAATTTAGCACAAGTACATCTCACAAGAAACAGATGGATTTAAACCTTTTCTTAAAAGTCTGATTAAGTTAAATGTATTACATAATTTTTGTGAAGAAATTCCACACTTTTCTAGAGTCTTCTTCCTAAAGTTCCTAGTCCTTTATACATAAAACAAAAAAAATTCACAATCATTTTATAGTAGATATTTCTACAGTTGTCTGGTTTTATGACAGACAGACAGACAGACAGACAGACAGACAGACAGACAGGAAGGAAGGAATGTTCTAAGGTTAGATGAAAGAGGACAAAAAGAGAAAGGTCAAGAGCAAAAGAAAGGATGAATACATAAAAACAAAATCCCAGATTAAAAAAAATAAATGACAAAAGTAAGGTTGAAAGAACACAAGGATAAAGACATGAGTGAAGATGGATGAAATGGCATCAGGTAGGATTAAGGATGATGAAAAGATGTAAGAAAGAGAGGATGACATGAAGGATAAAGGCTGGACAGTAGGAAGGAACATATTGAAGGAGAAATAAAGGGCATGAGGGAGGAAAAAATGACAGCTATAAAAAGTATAACATGCACAATACAGAAAATGAAAAAATAAAAATGAAAATAAGTATTTTCATATAGAGAACAGGAAAATACTGAAACTGAAAATACAAATCCTGTAAATTCATCCATGGTGATTCTTATAAAGTAATAGACCTGACTCTGTTAAGATCTGAACTTCTGAATTATCTTTACATATTAAAAAAACTGTAAGAAAAAGAAAAAAAAAACACTAAAGAAAATGAAGAAAAAAGGAGCTGCAGTAGTTATTTCTGCCTTCAATAACTAGCAGAACTGCAGAGCCTCTAGGCAACAATATTCATCACTTTCTTAACATAAACTTACTCAGAAAAGTCTTATTGGTTGGAGTAATTTATTAGTTTGAAATGTCACATTGCACATCTAAATCCAGAGAACAGTTATACTGGTATCCAAAAAGCTTTCTCTGTGATCAACATTTCAGCAGGTAATAAAAAAAAGAAATCAAATACACCGACAATTTGTGAATGTATGAAAAAGAAATCTTTATGGTAAAATGTAACAGCCGGCCCTCTTTGGTCCTCTTAGCAGCTGAACTCAGGAAATAATAATAATATTCCCTTTATATCTACTGCATTATTTATTATTTCATTAGCAACAAACAGCACTGATTGGAGAATTTAAAAGCATATTAAGCTGAAGTAAATCTTATCATGTTGCATAAATCAATCCATAACCTGCGAATCACCCACAGAGCCCTGGGTTGTTGATCAGTCTCTTCTGCACTAAAAGGGCAATAATTTGAGGGAAAATAACACATACAATAGTGCCCCCCGGTGGCAAAACAGATCATTTCTGCACAAAACTGAGTAAGGCATTCATTTGGAAATTTCATAATTATAGAGAGCACTTCACAGTTCACCATCAAAAGCTGAAGTGCCATAGAGAGTTCTCTGCATTTACCGTTTAACGCCAAAAAAAGAAGGGGAGGGGGTGACTACAGTCAATCTGTTCAATTTGTTTCAATGAGAGAAAATACACTCCTCCTTACCCTGACTGGAAAATGTCTGACGGTTTGTGTCATGGTAGAAACAAACATGAAACATAAGAAATACTGATTCTTTGTGGGCTTAGTAGATGAATAGGACTCGGGTGCGGGGCAGAGTGGAGAAAGTGTCGGCCATCTTGCGGATTCTGGCATAATTGATGAATCCGCGGAAGAAGAGCAAGAAGCCTGAAGAGAACATAAAGAAGGGGAACCATGAAACTAAAGAACCATCTTTCTTAAAATAATGATAGAACTCCATGACTGAAAAATGGAAACACTTTCTAAATGTTGTTAGAATTACTATCCGGTTCCTGGCTTCACCACTAAAGCTATATGCAAGTTTTTATTCAGCTTAACTTCCAGACATCTTGCTCAACTCTTTGAAATACCCACACATTTTATATCAAAATTCAGAGGACTCAAAGTTGTCTTTTAAAAAAGATCATGATCCAAACAAGCTGCCAAACGCAGAGACACCTGTCGCTCTTTAGAATCTTTGGTTGTTTGGCCAAAAATGACAGAGTTAAGAAATGGTTTCAAATATAAAACGGTAAATTTTTTAGCATTTTTCCAATACTTCTGTGTTTTTTCATGCTATATCTACATCACATTTGCACAAGACATTGGTAGAAACAATACAAGGAATAATCAGTCTTTTAGTTTTGTTGTTTCATTTTATCATCAGCTGCAAACTACATATTCTTTTTTGTATTTTCAATACATTTATATAAATTGGTTTTATTGTCTTGTAAAAGTTTGGCACCTTTGTTCTAAAATAAGACATTTTTATTTCTTTAATTTAACAATAAAAACAAATACTTTACACAGTATATCAAATATGAAACTTAAGATTTCATTCATTCATTCATCAAAGACAGCTTTTATCAAACTGTAAACACAAAGTGTTGTATGCAGTCGATGATTCATAGAAGTGAATCAAAACTTAATACTACAGAAATGTCAAGATCATTCATACAAAAAGTATGTTTTTAAATAACCTTGAGATTTTCAAAGTGCATAAACAACACTTTTCCCAGAATCCAGTGCCATTTACACAAAATATGGCTTCACCTCTGCGATAAACCTCAGAAGGGCCAAAATGCGTCACAATCAGGAGTAAATGAATGATTCATCTAAGTGCAGAGGCTTGATACTTACCCAACACCAGAAACACCCACCACAGCCAGTACTGTCCATCAAAGTAACCCGGGAAGTATGTGGAGAACTAAAAACCCAAGAAACAGTCACAAATAACCGGTTAGAACAAATATGGCCTGCGATGGTTTCACTCAAATTAGTTACGATCTTTAAAAGGCGAACAAAGAAAGGAGTACGGTCTTCAAGAGATCTTAGAGGAAATAGTTCAGTGTAAACAAGCTAACCACTACAGAGAAACTATTTTAAATACCACTATGGTGTTTTGAGGTTTTTTTGATTTCTTTGTGTGTAAATAAAGCCACAGTTTATTGCATTGTGTGTGCACAGCGAGATGTTGGGTTTTGTTTTCCGTACCCTGACGATGAGAATCCATTTGATGAGGGAGAGACCGAAGCCAGAGATGGCCCCGTAGCGTCCGGCCGCCGAAGTGGTCAGACAGAAAGACAAGAAGAACCCGATCCAGTTGAACAGGAAGGCCACTGAAAAGGATCAAAATGGAAAGATTTAAGCTTGTAGTCACAAATACAAATAATCTAAATACTTTTAGATTATTCTGAGCAAAGCGATGAGCAACTAACTGAAGAACGTGAGCATGAAGATGCCATCATTTCCTATTCTCAGTTGATCAGCATCATCAAAATCATCTCTGGTGACAAAGTCTTCATCCTGCAACACAATAGATCACAAAAAAACTTCAAAAGCTGAAAATACGTTGCAGCAAAGCTGGACCTCAGCAGAGCTTCCCTACAGAGCCTTATAAAGTGTTCACATCTCCTGAACTATTCGACATTTTGTCATATGTAGAGATGATTTTTGTGAGTTTTAATTACATTTTATGACAGACTGACAAAGGAGTTGATAAATGTGAAGTGAAAGGAGATTTTTTTGAAAAAAAAAAATAATAATTTTTGGATCTTTATGCAAAATGCTGAGGAGGAAAATCAACAGTACAAATCATTAAAGCAGAGATCTGCAACCTTTATAACTTAAGAGTCATTTTACTCTCAGTACAGCCAAATAAATCTCATCTAGAGCTGCAAATGTCACATGACTTTATATTTTTTTTAAAAACACCTTTTAGGCAAATGTCTACTTTAAGACATGTCTTCTCATTTTTGAAGAACCAGCATTCTATTAGCAATTTAAAATAAAGATAAACATAAAAGAAGACGAATCTTTTTATAAACATAGATTCCAACTGAATTCTGTGCTGAATAGATAGTAGACCTAAAAACATATTTCTGGTACTTTTGTGGAAATTCAATGTAAATATTACAAGAAAATTTTGAAAAACGACCAAAAACATTTGTTACTGTTTCTGTTTTTAAAATCATGAACTGGTTCTTTTTCATTTTTAGCCAAAGTTATGATATGTGACACTAAATATGAGGTAATCCTGGAAGAAAACCTGTTGGAGGCAATGAGTAACTAATCATTAGCAAAACATTTGAGATCAGCGACCAAATGTCAAAATGTTTAGAAGGTATGAATACTTTTAAAAGCTACTGCACTTTGAGTAAATAGTTTAAGTCCAGCCGTGATGCTCAATTTGAAACGTCTTCTACCTGCATATTGTGAAAACATGGAGACAAATGGAGACATCACAACACTAAACCTAAATCAACATGGTCACTATGACTACAACCTTTAACTCCACAGATCCTGTGGGTCTTCTATGAAAATAGGAATAACTTACACTTTACAAAACACACGGGAAGGGGGGTGTACTGAAAACATAACACGATGTTGGGACATTTCTGTTTTCACAACACAAACTAGGACTAAGTAAGCTTCCTTTCATCACACACTACTCCAGGTTACCTCCAGTGAACTGTGAATAATATCGTCAAAAGTCTCCAGGCGTTCTCTGTGATGAGGTTGCTGCTGAGCGAAAAGCAATGTGTGGCAGAGAAACACAATGACAATAACCAATCAAAGAAAATTACAAGTTAAAACAGGCTGGCTTATACAAAATGAAACCTTTCTGGATCAAACCATTATGTTGGTTTTTGAGAATGCCTCATTAGTGTACAAAAAAAATCTCCAAACTCTACTGGGAATTTAACTGGAATTGTGTTTTTTAGTCAGATATGACTAAGGAATAAGTGAAAGGTACCAAGATGTTTTAGGTAAACATGTGATGGACACCAAAAACAAACTGGTCCTCCATTGGGATTTTCAGCAGGATGACAGTCCAAAACATATCACCAAATTAATACAGAAATGGTTTAACAAGTAAACCATTTCAAGTAAAGAAGTAAAGAAGAGCGTGTAGCTATACCCAAATGAGCAAAAGTTCATCAGAACGTTGAAAGATCTCAAAAGATTGTGCAAAGAGGAATAGTACAACTTTCTCCTCTGAATACTCCAAACTTTTGAAATTTTCCAGATAAAAACTAAGAGCTGTTTTAGGATTTTTCAAAATACAGAGGGCAGAGGTAACAACAATTAGATTCTGGAGGCTGAGTTCTTTCTGGTTTGATTTTTTCCCCCTGCAAAACAAATTAATATACTCAATTTAAAATGTTCAAGAAGCTTCTGTAATAAAAAATGACAGGTTATTTTTACTCATCTTTACACAGGGTGACAACAATCAGTCTGGTCAGAAACTGGTCAGGCCCAGTTTCAGCTGAGTTAGTTGGTTCTTTTAAATGTTTTGAGGTTGAAAAATTTGAAGACTCGGTATAAGAAAGCTTTGTGTTGGCATTTTGCTGCTGCACCATTAGACAAATAAAGTCAGACACTTTTTTGAGCTAAAAGTACATAGTTATGATTATATTTTAGCTAGTTATATTTTACAAATGATGCTTCTTATCCCATCATCACTTTACAAATAATACTGTTTTATAAACTTCTACTTGTGGAGAAATAATGCTTACATATTAGTTCTAAGCACTAAAGCATGCATTAGTTAAACTCCTTTTTCCAAAGGCATCACTGCATTTCCTTTCACTTGAGTGTAGAGCAGTTTTTAGTCTTATGAAATTGTTTTGTTCAAACCACAGATGTAATCACAAATAAAAGGAACATGAAAATATCTCAATCTAGGGCACTGCATACTTCCTGCCTTGCAAGCAACTCCGGAAGTCTCTGAGAAAACGTTCTGTCTGAGTGTATGTTGGAGTGAGACAATGTTAACAGGTGATAGGATGACACAGAGAAAAGAAAAAGTGAGCCACTCACCCTTCCAGTCACCAGGGGAGCAGAGGTCTCTGCTTTAGTTCTTTCTGCTTCGTCATATGAAGGGAGCGTCGTTGCTACGTTGTAGGATGGAGGCTTAGGGAAAACCCCGTCTTCCTTGTAGTCAAAGTAGGCTGTAGATAAAACAGCACCGTTTCATACACTGAAGAGCAGCACATTAAAGGCAACTTTTCACATGTAACAAGCATAGTAACCACTGAGGAGCTTGAAGATACTTCTATATCTCACCATAATTACACTAAAAGAGTAGATATTTATGTCCTTAACATATGATAAAAGATTTTATTTTGTTTGTTTTAGGTAATATGATGTAGAGGTTGTCACTCGTGTTTCTCCGGTAAAGTTGATCTAATAGAAGCTTGTTTCCTTAAGCTGCTCCTTTGCAGACCATAGTTAATATAATTCCCCAGAATACTTCTGATATAAAAACACCTCAGCATCAAACTGAGTCAGTTTTACCAGCACTGTCCGCTGCGATGCTGCTGTATGGAGGAGGAGCATCAGCTGCAACCTGGGGGCTCCCTTCACTGTCGTCCTCGTTGGGCAGCTGGAGGACGAACAAGCAAAATTAAGTTTCCACCCTGGATGATCCCTTGTCTTTAAAAGGAAATGTTTAAACATATTAAAAGGATGTCAAATCCAGTAGTAAATTATCATTGTCACATGGAGTCAAGTAGTGAAGTGGAACTTAAAATTATGAGTCAACAATAAGCTTTCAAAAAGGAAGTCTCAGAAAAATAAGCATGAATGCATGTCTCATTTCTCTTTTTCGTGTTATTTTTTTCATTAAAAGCAGAAAAAAAAACATTACAATTATAATAAAACCACTTAATCAGCTTTTGTGTTGTCATTCAGGGCTTAGTGTAACCCATTTTTCTCATGTCAGCAAAAACAACAGCATAAAAACAAGCAGATATGATCACCTGACATTACTTTCAGGCTTTTTTCTTTATAGAGCAACAGAGACAGGAAAACATTCCATCAAAATGTATCAATGCTGTGGATGAGCAATGAGAAATTAAGCCAGTTACAGCAGCAGGAAGGTAGAGTCACACAGAAAGTTCAGGTTTGTTTTAGTGAAACCATTTTTAATGTTTCACCATAAATAACCACGATAGCAAGTCACTCCATGCAGGCTGTATAGACATGAACTCAGGCTGGAAGTTTAAACCCATAATAACAATAAGGACAAATAAATGAAACACATCGCTATTGAGAATCAGTCCCACTGCATCTCCTGTTGATCTACATCAGAATCAGAATGCTTTTATTGTTGTTGTACCAAAGCACAGCAAAACTCATTCCAGTACAGCCCATCCAAAGAAGACAATAAACAGGCAAGAACAAGGAAGATGGGGTGCCTGAGGCTGAGGCCATTGTAGGCGTTGCCCTTTATTTTTAGAGAAAGACGAAATGACAACATCAGGAAGGACGAGGGGAAAAAAGTCATATCAGAAAAACCTCTACACACTTAGCAACATTCAGACAAAGGACATATTACACACAATAGACAGTCATGACTCAGAAACTATAGAAAGGACACCTGTCACTCTCATAAATAATGTGGGTAAACTACTAGTAAAACATCTGCAGGCTAAGTGACCAAGGAATCAAATATCAATTATATCTAAAGGTGTAATATAAAGAGTAAAACTGCATATCTATAGGATAATGTCTGCAATTTATGATTATGTATGTATAAAAAAAGTAAGGAACATATAAAAGTAACAAACATTACATTGCAAATAATTTGTAATAATCAATATGCTTTATGTTTTTACAGCAATATTATTATTTTAAACAGTTTTTCTGTCTAAAATAATAAGATTGTCTTATATTTTAGTATTCTGTTATTGCTTAAATAACTTATAAAACCAGGCAATGTTTACTCAAGTTTATCATTCCTGGAGGATTTCATGCCAATCTATATGCCTTTTGCAAATGAATTAATTATTAATAAATAAAAACTACCTCCCAATAGGAATGTTCCAGTCCACATTTTACCAGCCTTAGTGTTGCAGTTTTAAAGCTCAACCCTAATAAAATGTGCTTTTTTTATGCAAGTGGACGTTTTACAGATGATAAATTACGTTTCAAAGTACCCACAGTCTTTGTAGAAAAATCTAGTCCAGGTTTTAGTTGTTTAAAAACAGAACTTTGAAAATGATGTAAGTTAATGAGGAAGCCAATTTTGAATTAAATCGTATTCTTCTTTCTAATGTAAAGACTTCAGGTCATATGAATGTGTTTTTTTTGTTTGTTTGTTTTTTTTAGGTTAGGATAGTTTAGATCACTTAAGACAGAGGAACAGCTCTTTACTTCTTCGCCGAATCTGATGTTTGGGTGGGCGTCTTAGCTTGTGTGCTCACATTAGCTTCGTTTTAACAGGATTCTATCATCTCCAATGATATATTTCACAACAAAATCTAATAAGATCTTTCACTCTGACTGATATTCATTTTCCTAACACAAAATACGGCCGTGTTAAAGACAACGACATAATACAAACACCCCTACTTTGGTGGCTAACAGTTAGCAGCTAACGCAAATTTGAGACGAAGCCGTGTTTTCACCTACCTGCTGATACCTGGCGCTCGACTCCGCCATTCCGCTCCAAACGGTAGTTAGTCCAACAGATAATACACCACCAATACGCCCAATCGAAACAAAATTATATAACTGTGTAAACTAAAATATACGACAGTCAAAATGGAAAACTGCTTCTCTTCTATGAAGGGAAACTGATAATGTTGTAAAGGTCAAACACAGCAGAACACGCATTACTTCCGGTTAATTTTGACGACTAATGAGTAGTGCTGCCTAAAATATATCTGTTTGTATATTTTCTACATATTTTTAGCTTATTTTAATTCCATATTCTCTTCTTAACATACATTTCCTTACATTTTCGACTTAAAATAAATGTATATGTGTTTCAACTTTGAAAAGTAATCACGTCAGCTTCCGTTTCTTCCCTAACTTAACAAACTGTCGTCAAATCATTGACGTCATCCGCCAAAACAAACTCTCTACTGCCCTCTTTTGATGTAAAATGGAGAACATATTTTCAGTTGCTACAATTTTGAAAGTTTTTGTAAGATTATACTGGCACTGACCATAGAAAGTAGAAAAAATAAAAAATAAAAAATAAATAATAATAATAATAATAATAATAATAATAATGATAATAATAATAATAATAATAATAATAATAATAATAAATAGGCAAAAGAAGTTTATTTGTATACCAAATTTCAGCAACAAAAATATTTAACCTGTCAATTTAGGCGGATTTTTAAACTTATTTAACCATTATTTTACAGAAAGTCCCTTGAGACAAAATCTCCTTTTCGAGGGAGACTTGGATGTGGACCAGGTTTTTGTAGATTAGCAGTTTTGCAGTCCTTTTACAATTGTCAGATTTTTTTTGTATCTGATTAAAGACTTAAGATTCTAACTTAACTCTTTAGTCTTTGTTATATTATAAAGATAACAAAGACTAAATATTTGCCTCATTTGCTGTTTTTTATTGCCTTATTTTCATTTAACTTGTCAATCATAAAATAAAAAATACACTAATATTTATGGCTATAGCTTATTAATATATCAAAAGAGAACTTGAAATAATATGAATACTTTTACAGGCCTGTAAACATAGGGACAGAAAGAAAAAAAACAAATGTGGAAGGGTCTTGAAACATTTTATTGTATCTTTGTGTAAAAGAAAAAGACAGCAACAGTACCTGTGACACTTTGTAAGCTCATGTGTTGGAGTGGTTATACCTCGGACTGCTTTCCAGTCAAGTCTTATTGAGGATTCCTGTACCTAAGTAGCACTGGGAAGGTGGTACCGATGTGCTTTTGGTTGTAATGGTGACAGACAATCTCTACGTCATAGAAACTGAACTGCACTTTGACGCGCTCATTTGGTGAGGTGAGGAAACTGAGAGTGTAGAGGGCAAACTCAAACTCAGGACTGACGCCAATGAAGATGCTGCCCTTGGGCTTTATGCCATTCTTCCAACTGAACTGTAATGCCAGGATGTGTTTGTTCTCGTCAGGCTACATTGAAGATTAAAAAAGGGGAACAGGTGGGATTAAGTAAGCTATGTGTACAAATCTAAATAGTCATTACCAATACTTAAGGGGATGTTATACCTGAGGAGAATTTGCTGTGACACTGTAGCCTTTGTAATCAATGTGACCCAGCTTTTCTTGTATGTACAGCTGGATCCAGTTGTGAAAACCAATGACAGTCCGCCCTCCTCTTGTCTCCCCAACAAACACATGTTCAAATCCTGAAGAGTCTGGCCTGTGGGCAGAAACAAGAACATAAGACCAGTAACATGTTTGCCTTCATGTTACTATAATGACTCCTTTGCACGTCATTCCTTTGTTAAACAGCAAAGAAAAAAGTCTAAACACCATATGGAATCACCTAAATTATTTTTAAGCTGCAGCTAACATGCCTGTTGAACCACTGCTTACGAACATGATGGGCTATATTTGTATTTTGTGGCAGCTTCAACGTTTCTGAGACGTATACTCTGTGTGAGGTGGTAGCCATCATGCTGCTAGATTCCTTATGTGGAGTTATATTTACATGCTGTGTCAGTAACCACCCACCTGCTGGATCCTTTTCTTGCATAAAGTTCAAACCAGATTCTGTAGAGCTGCTCCTTGAATTCTGTATCATCTTGAGGAGAGAGCTGCTTCTCCACCAGGTGTTTATGAGCTATCTAAAAGCAGTAAGCACAAGTTTGTTTTCAGTGTTCTGTCATATTTCATTCACATTGAACCATACTGATTGATGACAATTACATTAATTTATTTGAAGAACTTATCAAGCAAAAACTTGATAAAAAAAATTGCTCTGTCAGTTTACATTTAAAGCTGCAGAACTAACTTCTATATATATATATATATATATATATATATATAAAATCAAGCTCCTCTGCCTTCTCCCAGTGCTCCCAGTAACAATTGCAGTTATATGTCATTCAGTCAGAAACAACCAATCAGAGCCAGAAGGAGGGTCTTACAGCTGTCAATCACTTTCATTCTCACCTCTCCCACCAAATAACCAGCCATGATTGCTAAGGCTTGTAAGCATGGTCACCGATAACAGTGGATAAAGGGTTTCCCTGGAACAGTACGTTGTTTCTCCAACATTTGCACATTGAGCAGCATTGATTGACAGTGCTAAGACCCTCCTCCTGTCTCTGGTTGTTTTAGGTCAAGAGTGGTGCATTTTTTCAGATGGCAATAGAAGTTCAGAGGAGATCAACCATTTTACAGATTATCTCTCATACTATACTGTCATGACATAATAATAATTTTAATAAATATATAAAAAGCCTATTTTTTTATCAAAGTTACATACTTCAGCCGTAATAGGTCCATTTCCAGTACCTTCATAGCGCGAGTCTGAATGATGGCATCCAGGAACCTGTGGTTCTCGGCCACTTCCTCAGGAGTTACAATCTCTGGCTCACCGGTGTCACTTTCATAGTTATCCAAAAGGGAGATAAAGGCTGAAGAATCAAATAAAGTTTTTTTCCCCCATTATTTTTAGGTCCACATGTGCTACAGGAAATTATGTAATGTTTAAAGCTGTGCAATCCCAGAAACACGAAGATTACACAGAGACAAGTCAGCCAAGCAGAAATCCTGAGCAATCCTTTAAGTGCAGAACAGTTTCAGAAAATAAAATAAGAAAGACAAATAAATTGGCCTTTTTCTGACTCTATTTCGCTCTGGAAATACCTCTCTCTTCTTAAATAAAAATCTTACCAGATGTGAAAGAAGAAAAGCATTTTTCTGCAGACCTATGCATGCTGTGTGATTATGCAATAATTGTGGTGTAGTTTCCCTTTAAGAGGAGGCGATTGTTGTTCATGACATGATTGCAGCAATTCAGATGTTTGTTAATTGGACTGTTGCATAAGTGGTGGAAATGTTTCCACTAAAGTTTTTTTTTTTTTTTTACAACCTCAAATGTTCATGTATTTTACCAGGATTTTTTTGTGAAAAACCATCAGATTATAACAAATTTCTGAAGATGAATTAGTTTTTATGACTATCTGGAAAGCTTAGAGTATTTAACCTACTTTATTCTGATACCCATAGATAAAACCCAGTGAAACTTTAAAAACACACCTAATTAAAAAGGGTAACCTGTGTGTGTTTACAAGGCATATGTGAAAGAGCCGCCGTACTTTTTGATAACAGAAAGCTTGTAGCAGTAAAAACTTGAGCACTGACCTAAAAATGTCTCCTTTTTGAAAATATTCTCATCAACAAATGTAAACAAAGGAAGTCCTGCCCTGTCGTTGCTCTCATTGTCACCCATGCTGTCTCCAGCTTTGCCCTGCAGCAGAGAGAAACCATCAAATGATCACACTTTGTTTCACTTCAAAAACCCACGATGATCCTTAACAACTGCTTTTAACTATTGTTGATTATTAATGTACATTTTAAACTGAGAGTATTTCATATTAGAAAATACAAATATATGTATATGCACTTGAGAATGGTACATATAACAGATTTATCCAAATCTGGAGGTCCATGAATGCGGCGCACCTGCAGAGAAATCCTGTAGTCTTTTCCAGGTTTGAGTCGGTTGACGTCATTGTCCCAAATCTCCTGAACTATAGCCGACAGCTCTCTGTCACTCTCAATCATCATACGGCGACTCCTTGTGCTCCTTGTCCCTCAGTTCAGTCTCAGTTTCCTTCTGTTCGCAGTGCTACAGCGTTTAATGTCTCAGCCAAACTCCAGAGATACGCAAAATCTAGATATTCTAAATTAGTAAAATAAAAAATTTATTAGTTTCAAACAGATTATGTATAATTAAAGCAAGATGTTTACACACACTAAATACAAAGGCAAAAACTTTTTTATCTCGCTGTCAGATATTAAATCTGAGTTCCCTTTTTTGCTTTAGGTCAGTTAGAATTACCAAAATTATTTATACTTGCTAAATACCAGAACAATAGGAGATTTTTTTTTTTTTTGAGAATTTTCAATTACTTTCTCTTTAAGAGCTTACATACTCAAAAATCACCTACATGATTTTATGGAAGTATTTTTCTGCAAACCTATGTACGCTCTGTGATGCATTGGTTTGGACTTTTCCTTTTCTTTGAGTGCCTCAAATCCTAATTTGAGGCAGAATTGCATTGACTTAATTGCTGCTGGAGGGATGGGTACACTTTACTAGATGAATGCCATCATGAGGAAGGACCATTATAAAGAAATATTTACCCCCTCACCCCCCATTCACCAGCTATATATTAGGAAGTTAAAGTTTGAGCACCAATCTCCCAAAAGAACAATGATCCAAACCAGCTTTGGTGTAAAGCTGGGTAGGAAAAAAAAACAATGTTTTCAGGGACCGTCAGAAAGCCTGAATTTTAACTCTGAAATTATGAATTCAAAATTCAAACAATCTATTGTAAAAAGTTTGTGGAAGGATACACAAAAGGTTTGAGCCAATAAGTCATAGATTTGAAAAGGTAAGTCATTATTTTTGGTAATCCTAATTACATAAAAAAAGAAATTGTCTTAATTTAATGTTTTACAAGGAAAAATAAAAGGTTATGTCTCATTTTTCCAATTTTTCCTATTTTAACTAGTTTGTCACAATTTAATACTTCAGTCTTGATGTAAGGAAATCTAATCAAACGTGAAACTGTACTAAGAACAAAATATATTCAAAAACAATTTCATGTATTTTACAGGTAAAGAATGCCCAAATCGTGGCTGAACGTCGAGCTCTAAGAGTTCAGCATAAGGCGGCAGCGCTGTAAGCATCAAAACTCACTGACCTGCTTCTTTCAGTCCCGCTCTGCTTCTCTGAACCAACAAGGAACAACTGGTGGCTGATGTGTGGAAGTTTCTGTGTAGGCCTGGTGCTCCCAGTACTGGTTCTTTGAGTTTCTGACTGCAGGAGTATTTCATGGTGAAGGCCCAGCCAGTCAATCAGTCATTCATTGACTATGTAAAAGGACAGGAGGGGGAACGAGTCAGGGGATGGGAACAGGACAGGAGAGAGGGGCCGTTAAAAAAGCATTTTCTACAGTCAGCAACTCTGGCCAAAGAGATTACACAATGATGTCTCTTTTCAGGTTCAGCTAAAACGGAGGCTCTTTGTTCTTTTGATGTTTCATTGTTTCCCTCTCTGCCACAGTATGACCTCTGGATTACAGGGTAAATACGGGTCATGTTTCAGGTAACAAGGTGCTGCTGGGAACTTGGGGTTAATCTAATCATCCAAAGAGGGACAAAATGCCAACTATGTTACCAGAAAATGAAACGCAAAGGCAAAAATTCCTTGTTCTGCTTTGCTACTATCTCTGATAGTCATGTTCTCCTATCAGTCAGTCAATCATGTTTATTTGTATAGCACATGCAGCATCAAGGTGGTTCAAGGTGCTATACACAATAAAAACAGATGTTACAAAGTTATAAAGAAAACACAGAACAGTAAACAACTGAACAAACATTACATTTTGATGAGGGCCATCACCAAAATCACACACATCAAACATCTTGGTCACTGTTTCATTAATTATGATTCAAAACAACTCAAAACAGGTGGGTTTTTAGTTTCGATTTATAGAACTCAATATTTCATTTGTTTTGCAGTTTTCTGGAAGTTTGTTATATTGTCCAAATTTCAGTCAAATAATATATTTTATTATAAAATTTGGTTAACAGTGCAATACAAAGAAAATAATACACCCACATTAATGAACTATATTTTGTTCTTGTGGAGAATGATATGAAAATATGTGTCATGCCATGTGGAATTAGAAATCAGCTATTTTCTTTAAAACTGTATCTGCAGGAAATAATTATTGGACAGATGGTGTCTAGAAAAAGACATGCTGGTTTTAAATTCAGCACTTTGTTTCAGTTTAATAGCCAGCTGCTTTTTTCCTTACTACTTTGCTTTAAATTAATGAAAAAGCTGTGCTGAATTACTTTAACTTGAAATCTTAATGCAACCTAACTTGTTTGGGTATCCATCAACCAGTTCAGAACATTTTCTGGGAAAGTTGTGTTTTAAGATGAATGCAATATCTTAAGAAGCTGAGGTAAATTAGGAACAAAAGAAATCTGTTGAAAATGTACAATATCAGCCTGAATGTTAGAAGCTGACTTGCTATGTAAAGTGGTGACACCGGACATGTTGGGCTTAGAAAGAAAATGGTAGAAGATTTCCAACACTGTAATTTCTGTATATGTGTGGAGGTGAACTCAAAGATTGTTGCAATGCTTTCAGAGCATTCACACAATAAGAAGAGTAACGGTGTTACGCAGAAAAGGAAAAAGGTCACAAACTGTTTACTGGAATATTTATTATTTTTTAGTGCATTGAACGTCATTCTGTGTTCTTACAAGAGAAATGAACAGTGTTGATGTGACCTTGGGACAAAATTCCATCATATGCTTTTTAAGGCTAAGCATCCAGATTTGTTTCTTCTAACCTGAACCAGCTTCAACCATCACACAAGATGCTAAAATTGTTGTGTTGGCTTCCTTTATAACAGAAATGTAAACATTTGGTATGTCTTTCTAAGTTTTTGCCTCTTTTTCCTCTATAATTATTTGGCATTATTAAATAAAAAAAAACATAGTAAATCTAATGTAGCCAACCACAAACTCCAGTTTTTTTCATGCCCACTATAGTCATAGCTCAAGCTGCAAACTGAAGAAGCCAATGCACTGCACTTTGCTACACACTCAAACTGTTCATGATTTTATTGTGCTTTGACTTTGTCATTATAGAGAGAGAAATTTTGTTTTGGACACATAGCTCATATGACATAAATATTATTAAAATCGATGTTGAATTTGAAAAGAAAGTTGCTGTGTTTTGCTTTTGACATGTGGAGACATGCTATAAAGCTAGGCTCCTTCATTTTTTTAATTAAAACATTCAGTATATTCTCCATATTTAGCTGGTTGCTTTAAGGCCTATGACATAAAGAAACGATTTGCTACGAGACAAGACAGGACATAGTCTATTTGATTAATTGTCTATATGACAGTACAAATTATCCCTTACTTTGCAAACCTTTCACTGACTTCAGATTTAATGTTTACAATAGTTTCATAATCAGAATCCTTGTTAGACCATTAACCAACCACTAACCAATGTCGCTTATTAGTGAAAGGTAAAGGCAAACAGAAAAGATGCTAAACTTTTCTAAAATCCCTGCAGTTGTTTGCCATCTGTTCAGGAGACCTATGTTGTTTATTTAATTTATATTATGAGACCTGTATAATTTAAATACAATGACTGTGACTATAAACACTTTACATAGCTGATTGTCTTCCTGTCCTCTCTATGGCATGACAATGTTCAAAACACTGTGTTGAAAGTATGTGGCTGTGGTGGCGTTTCAGTTCCAGCGTAGATGAATCCATGGCCATGTGATGAAGGATAAAGTGCATTTAGGTGTATAGCGGAGAGGTGGCGCTGGCGTCAGTCCTCCTCATCGCTCCAGAATTCATCATCATCCACATCGACACCATGGAAGAGTCTGCAGGGCAAAACAGTCAGACAGCTTAACTACTGCAAACACACTGACCATCGATCTCGACACACTCTAGACTTCCTCATATGCAAGTCTAGAGCTTTAAAGTTTTCTTGTGGTACAGTGAGCTTCATAAGGCTTATTTATGACAGGTTTTAGGCAGCTCCTCTGGTCAGACATGGTTGAACTTCATTTTCACAAGAACTGGACATGGATAACATACAATAATGTTGCCATTGCAATTTTCTAAAAATCTGCTTGAGAAAGTGGTTTAGTATTTAAAAAGAGGCTAGATTTAAAAAAAAAAGTTGTAAATTGAGGAATATAAATATAAAATAGAATTAAATGAACTATAGAACCTAGTGTATAAAAGTAGTATATACTGGTATATGTAAGGCTTAAATTTAGTTTTTTTTATTTCCTTTAAACATTTTAGAACAATTTAAGTTTGTCTTGTTTTCAAACATCGCATAGGATTTAAGGAAATGTTTTAAAAAAAAGGGCTGCAGCATAATTACACTAAAATTGAGTTATTCCTGAGAAAACAAGATGAATATGTGAAAATGTACTTTTTGCTCAATGTTAAGGATTAAAAACCAATTCTGATGATGTGGGTGTTTTTTCTTTAAAATACTCTAAGAACCTCGGTAGAGAACAAGCTATTATGACAAAAACAGCATTTATTAGAACCTTTTTGCCCATCCATACTGAAAGTGCCTATAAATGTGGATAAACCTGACAAGAGCGTCTTACTGGTTAAAGCAGGGTGAGTGTGGGTTGTTAAAGTGGCTGTAGGGGTTGACTTTGCTGAGGGCACCGAGGCACAGCCAGCAGAAGTACTGCTTACATGACGTGCACGTCATCTTGTTACAGCCATCCACTTTCTGAAAGACACAAAGTGCCACAACATTATGTGAAAAGACATAACTTGGATGGAACCATTTTTAAAGGTTCTGATGTCTTAAAGCATTGTGACCACCAGGGGGAGGTAAAGGCCACCTGTATATTGGTTCCACAGCGGGGGCAGCATTTGCAGTTCTCCTTGAGCCAGTCTCTGCTGAAGGATTCCTCCACCGCTTTCTGGACCACCCTCTTCCCGAAGCGTTGCTCCATGAACTTCTTGCCCTCAGGCGTGGCTGACAGGTACTCATCTCTCAGACTACGCAGATCATCTGAGGAACAAAGCAGAAGTTGAGACAGTTAGAAAATACATTTTCTGATTTCCAGTGGGGGTTTATTTGCATTATTTAAACTATGGCACATCTTTTCAATGCAACTCATTTCAGTCTTTCCACAGCTCCAACCCAATTGCTTGTCTCCACTTGCCTCTTATTTGTAATATGCTAGTTTTTCCTTTTCTAATAAAGTTTCACTCCTGCAAACTATTTTCAACAGGAGTTAACTGTGCGGTTACCTGCCGTTATTTTACAATGAGAGACGCCATGATATCCCAGCTTGCACAGCGTGCAGAAAGCGTACTGACAAGCCGAGCAAATGCCCATGGTCGTATCTGGCTCCACCATAACAGCCGTCCCGCAGGAGTGACGGGGACAGTAGACGACGTCAGCCATGAGGTCCAAGCTTGACTGAAGGAGCAAACGGTCATATCGAGCAAACGACTCCTCATCCACAAGTTGTTTCACCTGAATGAAAAAGCCACAATGTGAGAGAACTGCTGATGTGAACTGAAAATGTAGAGAAAACTCACAGTTAATCTTCCGCTCTTACCTGTGACGGAGTGGCTAGTGAGGTACATTCGGGTTCAGGGCAGTTAAGGCACTGGACGTTGCCGTCCCGTATTTGAATCTGAAAGTACTCCGTCATGCACACCTTACAGTAAACATGTTGGCACCCCTTGAAGCAGAGACAGCTGGCACCCAGCTTGTCTGAAAAACAGATGCCGCAGCAGAACACCTTTCCGTCGAATGCCCTCTGCCGCTGCACCTCGTCAAAGTCCAGGAGCTGAGGTAGGGGGTCCGAGTGGGGGTCCATCAGAACCACGGCGCGCGGGTCCGACTGAGAGGACGGTGAAAAGTGCTGGCCAGAGTTCTCTTTCTTCACGTCTGCTTTCTTCTCCTCTGGTTTTTCAGACTGGCTCATGCACTGTGTCCCAACTGGACAGAGAAAAAAATATGTTTTTCCAAATGCCATTAATTTTTTTTAATCTTTAGCATAAAAGTACAGATGGCTGAGCAAGAATTTTCTGATTTGTGGAAGATAAAAACATGTTAACATCTGATATAAAGCCAAGTCACCAGTAAATCAAAGATTTATCTACCCCAAACCAGTTTGATATGAGTTTACTGTTGGAAAACTGACTGTGTCCGAGCTTCAACCATCTAACCCAAACTGGGAGCCTCAGGTTACTGTTAAAATTATTTAGTTCTTTATCATTTTTACCCAAAGTTATATTGCAGACATGCAGACTCCAGGGAGAATCTAACAACACAGGAAAACATAAATACCTTTTGCTTCAGGGTCTGTTTTCCTCCGTTCCCCGCCGCCCTTACTGCTGCTCCTGTTGAGTTCAAGAGGAGACTGGATGCTCAGAAAGCTCAGAGTCTCCTCTTTCAGGAACTGGATCCACATGAAAAGGACCTCAAAACCCTGGTTTTCTTCCCACAACTCATCCAAGCGCTGACACAGAGAACTCAGCTGAAATGATGAAATATCAAATATTATGCACCATAACCTGCATTTGTAGATTTGAATAAAACTACCAGTCATTTTTCTGGAATATGGGAGGAAGCCAAAATACCCAGAGAGAACTTGTTTTTGTCATATAAAGAACTATAACAGTTGGCATGATGAGTCCTACCTGAGCTTTGGTCATCCATTTGGAGCTGAGTGAAAAAACCGGTGGAGATGTAGAAGGATAGTCTGCAGGAAGCTCGAAATTGAGCACCAAGGGAGGTAAAAAGCAGACATTATATTCAGCTGTCTTCTCTCCTGCAACAGAGAAGGGGGGTAATTAGCATTTCTTGTTGTGATATGAATAAACTGCACACCCACACCTTTACTGATGGATGTACCTTTCACCAGCAGCTTGAAATCAGGAGGGAGCTCCAGACATAGTTGTATCTCTCCGCCCTGAGCAGACTCTGCGCGACGGAACTCCTCTTCATCATAGATACTTGCTAAAGCAAGCAGTTCATTCTCCTGGGCTTCCTTATCCTCAGACATTTACATACCTACAACAACAACAGTACACGATCAATACGAGATGTAGTGGCCGTAGCAGCGCCTGTGATAACAAACACTGTTAAAGTGAACTGCACCTAATCATATCATGAATCTGACAATAAACTGTTAATTTACCAACTGGCTTAAACGGTTAAACATTGTGTCTTAAACTGCAAACCAAAAAGAAAGTGAACAATATAAAAAAATTATAAATTACTACAGGCAACCCGACTTTTGATGTAACTTAGCTTTAGCAAAGCTACGTTGTTATACAAAAGTTGGAGGACGCATTTACAACCCCTTAATATGTGTGCTAATAATGCAACACCGGCGAACACAAAGTGTTTTAGAAGGTTGAACTCTGGTGACATTATTCAAACTGTCGATTAGTTTCCGACTTAGCTAACAAACTTGAAATAGTCACTGCATGAGGCTAGCAAGCTCTGTTAGTTAACTGCGGCTTTGTTACTGCAGCTAAGTAGCAAAGCTAGGCCCTGTGTCATAACCACTGTTATGCAGATCAAAAATATTACAAATTATTTCACTGAAAAGTACACTGCAATTAAAATGAAGACGTTAACTACCTTATATGTCCCAAGTGCAAGTGACTTCTGTCCCCTTTGACTAGTTCTCGTCATGACGAGTCACTGTAGGTTCTTACAGCGCCACCTCCAGGAGTATGGAGCTATCTGTTAGCTCAATAATGGCTGGACCTGTTCCTTATCAGTCCGCCGGCAAGCAATCCGGCTGAGCGGCCAGGATGATGAACGATTTCACCCTGCTCCTTTTTTTCATAATGTATGTACCTCTTAGGGGAGGATCATCATAATATAATAAATTTAACTTAGTGAAAAATATATCTACTTAAATTTACTTTGTGCATTTATAATTTTGATAAACTGTTATGACCTACGATCAACCATAAAGCTTTTCCAATACACAAATATTCAGATATACTTCCTTTTTTTATTGGGTGCACGGTTTCTTAAAAATATATATTTTTTATACATTGTGTATAGCTTTTAATTTCTTTATATTTTAGATTGTTTTTCATTGCGAGTTTATTGCCATTTGTAATTTTGTTCCTCCTTGTTTCCTGGTTAAGTTAGACAGTTGACATTTGTTACAACTGACTATGTTGTGACAACATGGCATGAGACGGAAAATCTGTGAAAAGACCAAGCTCCTCTGCTAATGACAGAAATAAACAGTTCAGTCAGAAACAACCAATCACAGCCAGGAGGCAGGTCTTAGTGCTGTCAGTTATGATCATGTAAGCGCTGCCCACAGCCTCCAGCTTGTTCTCTACTACTCTACAGCCTCTCCCAGTCACCAGAGCATGTCATGAATACTCAGGTTAGTTAATATGGCCACCAATCACAGCAGATAAATGGATTCCCAAGAATGAAATGTAAAAATTATTTTTTTTTAATAAGTTACAGTTTTAGCATTTTGTTTATAATCTTAAATCCCTGCCATTGCAGTGTCTAGCATTATGTTGTACTTTTCTAGTACATTATCATGTTTACCTGCAGACTAGCTACGAGACAAGACAGGACAAATTGTTAGCGATATTTCATCCCATCTTCTTGTGCAGGACTGGAAAGGGGCTTAATTTAAAAGAGTATTCTTGAACAGTAATGGTTATATCTCAGCTCAGTTTTTGTTCTAAGGTTTATTTTTGCATTTTTCAGTGATGTGGCAACAACAGCAGCACCCAAAAAGGAGATTTGTTGCACCAGCAATCTCACTGTCGAGTAGAAAATAAAACAACAAGGCTACCAGAGAACAAACAGATCATTTGCTTTTGAATGAGAAAAGCAGAACAGTGAAATACTGCATGACAGTAACTCTTAGTATCTAAATCCAACATACAAGAGAAGAAAACTTCTTTGAACTAAATACATCATAACCAAGGAGTTACAAGTGTTTGTGGTGAAAAAACCCCAAAACAAAACAAAACCCCGCCCCACAAAATGACACTTACAACTTTAAACTATTGACGCCCCCTTCACCAACGCATTTGATACCTTATTTAAACAATATTTTACAATTTCAACTTTGCTGACATTCTTAGCTTAAAGATCTTGAGGAAAAGCTAAACAATCATCAAAGCAGCACGAACTAAGCTAGCAACCCACACTCACAACTTCCCTGCCCTCAGGAAGTCATTTCAATATTATTATTATTATTATGCAATATTTCTGTATTCAAAGAATATAAGAAAGCACATGCCGTGAAGGCAGTCTGATGAATAGCACTGATAAAGGACGATGTTGTCTGCGTCTCCAAAAGAGGCTACCATGTCATTAAGAATCAACTCAGAAGAAAAGGGCTGAACAAGGTGAGAAGTGGTACAAACGGATGGGAAACTCAAAAGTTGGCAGCAGCAAAAGTTTAGTCAATGTCCATTTCAGGGAGCTTGTTTTCTGCCGTTTCCTGCTGTGTGGCTGTTGGTTTTGTTTTATCTGGGTTTCCAGGCTGGCTTTCTGGTTCAGCCTGTCCATTGACTGGACCGTTCTCTGTTTTCTCCTCCTTAGGAGGCTCCACCTTGGGCTTGGGTTTAGTTACCACTGGATTGCAGGATGCATAAAGCTCCTAGGGGATGAAAAGATCAAAGTAAGCCAGTGGATCTTAAGGCTAGTTTTCTATGAAAATATGTCGAAAAGGATTTGTGTAGCTGTCTCCAAGTACCTTTGTCTTGGCCTTGATTTCTCCTACTTTCACCACTGGGTCCACTGTGAGGTTCTGGCTGTTCTGCTGGTTCATTTTGGTATTCATCCAGGCCATGGCCTCATTGACCTGCTGATCCACCCGAGTCACCTCCAGCTCATCCAGGTGATCATACTGCTCATCCTGTAAAATACAGAAACGCTAAACAGCTGTTTACACTATTTCAACAAAACTTCCAGATACATTTGTTTATTACATTTGTTAATAGCAATTCTATTTTTAAAGTACAGATATTATTACCTTTGCCTTGTAAGATTCAACAATCTTCATGTACATCTGTATCTGTCTGCCAAGCTCCTCAAATGCTTTTGGTCTCTCTTCAGCTTCCAGGTATTTATCGTGAATGGGCTGACCGATTTTCTGCAGAAAAAAAAGGCAGATCAAAAAATATTCCCACTCTCCAATTCAATTTTGGACTTTTCTAAGTTTTGATTCTTTCAACTTCTTCAGGTATGATGGGTCACCTGCTACAAGACATTTCATCCTGACCACAGGTGAAGTCAAACAGGCAGGTGGAAAATTTTGTACACTTTGCCATCCAATGCAATCATTTTATGTAATTTAATGTAGTTTATTTATATGATGCAAAATTGCTCCAAGTGTCATATCAACATATTTTATGAACAGGTCTGATTTATATGCCGTAATGTAGAATCTACTTCATTTCTCATAACTTTAATGAAAACAAGCATTAAACATTCAGAAGTACATCCACAATTAATTCTGGTAGCAAAGAAAGTTTTATTGTTAGCATAAACTGCAGAATGTCAGACAAACAGTGTTTCATCTAAACCAGCTAGTAAGGAAAAGTGTTTGTTTCAGTGACTAGTACCCATTACCCAGAGAATAGGCTTCATTCTGTATGTGATTAACCCATTCAGTACCTTTTAAAATTTGATTTTTTAAAGATTTTCAAAGGACTCACCTTCAGTTCCGCTAGTTTGTCAATGTAAACTTGTTTCTGTTGGTCCTCTCCATCTTCATACAACCAAGTTTCCGTGTCCTCCAGTTTTAATGAGAACGCATTACGATCCTAAAATGTCAAAACAAAACAAACCAGAAAAACATGAGCGTAAAACAAAATGTTACATTTATACTCAGATGTCAAAAATAAACATACAGCTGAGAGGCTAACTGAGTCCAATGATGAATCTCGTTTGTACTTACAGCCTCATTCACAAACTTCTCCAGTGAGCCGTTGAGTTTGTCCCTCATTTCATACACGTATTCTTCAACGTTGTTTTTTGCATCATTTCTCTCCTTCTCAAGCTTGTCCTGCATGATCATCTTCCCCTACATGAGGCACAGCAAAGGTCAGATCACTTTACTTAAAAACAACAGTAAACGGTTAAGCACCACATCAGCTGGTGCTTAACCGTTTACTATGGCAGTTGATGGCTATGTAACTCATAGCCATCATGTGATCATGGGTTTTAAATCTTAATCAATACAGAAAACACATCTGAGACTCTTTTTTTGTGTGTGCATGCCGAACATTCCTGGTAATTTTTTTAGGACATTACCTCATTCTCCACAAATGTATTAAGTTCTTCAACAGGAAGCTGCCACTGCAGTTTGCCCTCTATGGGCAGATCCACAGTCTTTGTTTTTACTTTGGCTTTCTTGGCTTGAGGAGGCTGATCATTCTTCTTCTCTTCCTTGACATCCTCTGGTGATGTCTGGAAAAATAAAAACTGTTAAATATATTTAGAAAATCTAATTTGTAATGTTTAAACAATCACATAAAAACTGAAGTGAGTAACCTCATCATTATAAATGTTATGTGGAAACTTAAAAGCTTGTTTCAGCAAACTTTCCACATCACTTAGTGAAAGGTCAAAGTGTAACCTGTAGTTTAAATGATCCACAAACCTTCAGAACGTCACATTTTTGTTGCTTTAACCTGATTTTTGTTCTTTTCCAAGTGAATGCATCAATTTTATGTAGAAATTAGAAACTTGTTATCAATTCACCATTATTTTAGAGCTTATAAAACTAACCAAAAGTAAAAAACATATCTTTGCGAGGAACAACTTGAGTCATACAATTTGAGTTAACGGTTTCCAGAACAAATGGATCTGCTGTCATGTTTTGAAACAATGTGATACTTGAACATTTTAACTGTAAAGAAACAATAAAAATATTAAAAGTAAAGTGGCAAAGGGAACACATTTCAATATTGTAAATCCTAAATATGCAGCTTTAATTTTTTAAGCATTTCCATAAACCCCATGCTAACCATCAAGTACGAAATTGTAGCTAGAAAATTAGAAAAGAATAAATAAATAAAGCTGAGCCTGCTCCTCCACTAGGTACCTAGTGCTGGGCGATATGGATGGGAAGTTTCAAACAAACCAAGAGGTTTAGATTTTGTGTCATTTAGGATTAGGCTCTGGAAGTGTGATGACATAAAAACAAAAGGATATTTCATTAGCTTCTTGTAATATTGTGATCGTGTTCCCACTTGATTTGCGTACCAGTGTCATTTTGAACACTGTAATATTCTATTTACAATAAATGTGTGTGTGACTTAATTCATACAGCTATTAACTCCCGCCTAGCAATATTTTCATGTGGAGTCGAGGTTTATCTGAGCCCGTCACTGACAGACAGAACTGAAGCAGCCAATATAGGTTTTCTTTTACTTTACATGTTATCATAAAGGATAAAAACACTTAGACTGCGACCAAGATTCATTTAAGCAACAAAATAAAAATAATAATAATAACAGCATAAGCTGTAATTACATTTAGCAAACATTCATCATGAACACTGGTGCTGCAGTGGACATAAAATCACAGACTTTACCCCAGCAACAGGGATCGAGAGTTAGTTTAGTCAGAGGTTCTGATGCAGATTATTTAGAAATGCCTTGAATTTAGGATCTGAAATGACCTGACATTTAGGATCAGATCATTTATTTTGTTTACTACGAGTTTCTATATTTTTTAAAAACTAGAACTGATGTGATTCATATACTGTAGCAACGTAGGACATTTGTTTTAGTACTGTACAAGCGTGTTTTTAGTTTATTGTTGATATCTTGGCAAAGAGATATTTTTCCTTTATATAAAAGGATTTGACACACTTGAATTTGTCCATCTTTTCTTGTCTTTTGCATTAATTACAAAGACATTAGGAGCAGCTACATTTACAGAGGACCAATGTGTAAGTGCTTTTCTCCTTCACACACAATAGAGCAGCATGTATACTGTCCTATCGCCCAGCACAAGGTTACCTCCATTTCTTCAGCCTCTGATTTCTTGTCTTCGTTGTCTCCAGCCTGGGGTTTCTGATCTTCATGGTCCACTTGCATTTTGCTCTATTGCATGGTAGCAAAAGAAAGCATATACAGAAAATGTATTAAGACAACACCTTGTAGATGTTTTTTTCAGAACATCTCGACAAATTAATTTGTTTCAGCTTTACTCATTTCGACCAGTTCATGCAGGTTTTCGCTTCATTTCAAGTTTAAGATTTGTCAGGAAAGGTTGCTTTTCCAAATATACAAAACAGAAATATTCTAAATCACCTTTCTTTTTAATTCACAACAGTTTTAGAGGGAGTAAGAACTGAAGTGGAAATGAAAGAATACAAACACATTTTAGTAAAAATTGAGAAAACATCTCAAAATTGTTTTATTTATAACCTTAGTTTTGTCCATCTCTTGTCAAAAAAGCAAGAAGCTTCTCTTTCTCCCTTACTCACCTCTGCCTGACTGCTACGTTTTGTTCCTTGCATCCAAAGCAGATACATACCTCCTCTTCCTTCACCCCTTGGTCCGTCTCCATCGGCTCCTCTCCTTCCACCTCTTTTATGACTTCTACCAGAGCCGCGCTCGAGACACTGAACACACCGTGAACGTTGACGCGCACCTTCACTTTCACCTTGGAGCTCTCGCCTGATGCCCGGGGAACCACATTCTGGATCAGAAACTCACCTGAAAGACGGAGGGATGATGTCACAATACCCAAGTATGGTAAAAAACATAACAAAAAGACTCAAAATAAAAATCGCATGAAAGTTAGCCTAATGTGCATCCTGTAGTACCTATTGTTGCTTTAGGGTAGTTTAGCTCCTTCATATTATTGTAATAGGCTTCCAGCATGAAGGGCTCTTTCCGGTAAAAAGTCAGCACTTTGGAGAAGGGAGCTGCATGGTTCTTTGGGAAAACCTCACAGTCACTAGAAAAAAAAAAGTAGAGAGATACAAGTGAGATGCAAGTATTCGCTAAGCAATTAAACTTTGGATGAAGTGTATTCACTTTCATCCAAACTTAAGCTTAACTATTAACAGAAGCTTAGCTCAAACACTGTATTATCTTATGACCATGAATGCATTCTTACCTCAGTCCGTCCTCTGCAGCTGAATTCCACTTTAGGGAAATGGAGTATGGGACAACATCCGTGATGGAGAACTCTCTGACTTTGAAAGCAGGCGACAAAATGGCACACTGAAAAAAAAAAAACAATAAGAAGTCAATAATTAATGTCAATAACTCTGAATTCAGGTCCTTATTTGTTTGTATCCTCTTCTTTTGGGCTCATCACCTTCACTTAACTTCTGGTTTATGTACAATGCTTTTATTTTGAAGTGACCACTTCCAGTTTGTATGTTAACGAACTGCAACTTAACAACAAAAGATACAAGACAGTTGTTTATACAACGTATCTTGTTATCAAGTAACCCCCTCAATAGAGGCATCAGGTATGTTTATTTTGTAAATATGTATGTTTTCAATCTTGAGTAACTAAATCTGTGCATGTTTTATTGTATACTAAATCTGGAGTTGTCTTTAGATCACAGGCATATTTTAAGCTGTAAACATTATTTTTAAGATGTGAATGTTAATGTTTGTAAGAGTGTGGTCTTTGAGCCGATACTGTTTTTTCTGTGGATACATTTCCTGCTCTTACAGTAAAACTCTGGATGTGTTCCTACTAAACCTGAATGTTCATCAGTAAAGCCTCAACCTTCAATTGAGAAGGTATTCTACAACTAAAGTAGGCTTCAGTGCATAAGATGCTCATTGTAAATAGCAAACTGAAACGATAAGACTTTATTCACACCAAATCTTTTTATTTCTGGCTTTTAAAGAATAATAAAGCATTATATTCCCTAGAACCAACTGCCAGTTAATGTGCTGTGTGTGAAACTAACTAAACTGTGGAGAACTTAAATGTTTGAGCCGTACCTGCAGAGCACAGCCCCGGGCCACCGCCTCATCTGCATTGAGGGTGGTGTTCAGCTCTTTGCCGAAGAATTTGCAGATCCGCTCCTTGATAGCTGGAATTCTGGTGGCTCCGCCCACAATCTCCACGGCGTAGATGTCTTCCTTTTTCAGTTCTGGAAGCAGAGCGAGACGATCAATTAATCCCTACTTGTTAGGGTTACAAAGTCACAACTTCACTATCAAATGCTGTCGGATTTAAAACAGTCACAAGTGTTGCGCTTCGCGTTGTGTAAACTGTTCATGATTCAGTCAGGTGAGGCAGGAGCCATAAGATATTAATAGATAGGAGGAAATTACTAGAAGAATCCTTTGCCTCAAATTACTTTATTACTTTATACTGACTTTATGTGTTTACACATGGTGGTGAGGAGAGACCAGTAGTTATTAAAGTCAAATGTACTCACTGGTCTGTTCCATGACGCTGCGCAGGGGACCCTCAACTTTGGCCAGCAGCCCAGCACACATTTCTTCAAACAGACCTCTGTGAACATGTCATAAATTATTAATAGATACAGCTTAGCAACACAAACATACACACTCTAATAAAAAAAAAGGAAAAAAGGCACAGCACCAGCAGACTGATGCAAATCTTTAAAATATATTTTGTAATGTTAGACTTGCAGACTTCATTGTATTTCATTTGTAGGGCATAAAAAATACCTGAACAATAACAATAAGCTGACCTTTGAAAGCAATTTTTTAGGTTTATCAGTCTAATAGGAGCTGAATATAAAAGCCGTAAAAATTTTGCTTATTTTTATTCCCAGAAAATGTTAAAAACCGTGAATCCTTTTCTGGGTTAATTTATGGCAAAAAAAAGAAAGAAAATAAATCAAATAAAACACATTAAAGTTTATTGACAAATCTTTGGTCAGGTTTTATTAATTATGTATAAACATGAATCTCACCTGTTCAGTTTGCTGGAAACATCAATGTCGTTCATGAAGCATTCAATGTTGAGAGGTAAGTCAGAGGAGTTGGCACTCATCAGCTTCTTCAGCTTCTCACACTCCTGGTAAAGACGCACTAAAGCTCGAGGTTTGGACCTGACGTCCAGTTTGTATTTCTTTGCAAACTCTTCGCAGAAGTGGTTCACCAGGATGTCGTCAAAGTCCTTCCCACCGAGGTCAGAATCAAAAGCTGCAGCCAGAATCTTACAGAAAGAAAAAGAAGGTAAATATTGAAATCAATCAACAGTAAAATTCTTCTTCTTCTTCTAATCTACTTAATTTGTCTGTCTTATCAAGGTGTGAAGTTATTGAGTTGGTGGTACAAAAGCTGAAGCAGCAGCACATGCTAGCACAACTACTAACATTAGTATCTATACAAAACCACTCAAAAGTTCTTAATAACTTACCTTGAGCTTTCCTTTGTTAAAGGCACAAACGGATACCTGGTAACCAGAGTGGCCCAGATCCACAAACACCACTATCCTGGGCTTCTCCTCTGGAGCTGGAAGATCCTGCTTATAGATTCCATAGGCCAGAGACACTGGAACAGAACAAACAAATAGAATAAATATACAGAAAAAAAAAAACACAGGGATTTTATGAGGTTCTTAACTACATTTTTCTGAGCAGAAAAAGTCAAATAAGTTTGATTGACACTCTGCCCCTGCTGAAAAAAATGGTCTTGCATCAAATTTCACAGGTATTGTCTCATGTTGCAGTATAAGCAGCTAAAATGGAGTGTCAAACTGTTTCAGATGCCATGTGTACCTGCTGTGGTCTCATTCATTAATCGTAGACAGTTGAGGCCTGCAATCTGAGCTGCATCCATGACCGACCTCCTCTCCGCATCAGTGTAATAGCTTGGTACCTGAGATGAGGAACAGAAAATATTCACATAAAGAAATTTGAAAAATGATGCATGGATGTTTATAAATTAAAAACCAAAAAAATACTTTTATTCATCTTTTGATACTGGGATTGAAAGATGATCCCAGTATCATCTGGGATCAGCTCAGATAGAGACTACTTTTCTCAAAAAGCTCTCCGGATATTGTCACTATTTTAGCAAGTTGGGACACCAAAACAAAACGTCCCAATGTTGAAAGGTTCAAAAGCTAAATTTAGAGACAGGCCACAGCACGAGTAACATGTTCTCTATCAACAGGGCCTGATGTCACCTATAAATTTAGCTTTGGTACAAGTCACAGCCCCTCTGTGCTAGATCTATAACATTACATAATGGCTGCTATTTGTGCTCTCTCATGCTGAGCTCAACACACACTTCCCACTCTTTACCGACTGTGTGCAAGAAAGGAAATGCAGCTTTCAGGCACAGACATCTGGTGAGGAGGCTAACGCTCTAAACAAATGTCACATGAACAGGTGACAACCCACTTATACACCAGACACTTTTTATATATATGTACACATGCATAAATGAACCCAAACCACATGTCAATGCAAGAGACATGATAGCAACAGCCATAAATGATGAATTCGGGTTTAATAAGCAATTTAATATGCTGAAGATTAAAAAAAAAACGACATCACATTAGAACTCATTAACAAATCATAAAAAAAGACTGTAATACAGAGTCCTAAAATCTCCTAAAATTCAGAGATGTTGATACCGAGATGACGCAGTCAACAACTGGCTTCTTCAGTGCACTTTCAGCCGTCTCCTTCAGCTTGGTCAGCAGCATCCCGGTTATCTGCTCCACACTGAATACTCTCTCTTCCTCCATGTACAGCACCTGAAACAGGATATTTTCAATGAATTACCCTTTTCTAAACAGAAAAGGGTGTGTGTATATTTATATATATATATATATGTGTGTGTGTGTGTGTGTGTGTGTGTGTGTGTGTGTGTGTGTGTGTGTGATTTTAAGACAAAAATAGGGCCATGCACTTTTTAAGAGTGATGTCCTGCTGGACTAGCTGGCATTATCATTTATGAACTCAAAGGAACTTGTATAATTCAACAGTTATTAAAACTGTTAAGTAAAACAGAATCAGAACAAATATTTTACCTAACAATAAGATGTCAGTTTATTTTACAAAAAAACCATCATGCTTTGAATAAATTCATAATAGGAACAGACTATATGTAAAACATATCTTACAAACAATTGTTATGCCTGCATTTTTATAAATCTAACATTGACCAATGACAAAAAAGGACACTTTACAAAAAAAAGATCCCAGAGGAAAAAAATAAAATGAAATAAACAAATCAGTTTTCTGGGTTGTTAAATATTGGCATACACCACAAATAAAATCCAACATCACTTGACCTTTAACCCTCACTATTAGAACAACAAAATAGGGGCTAACCTCACCTTTATACCGGTGGCTCCTGAAGGCATCTGTGCCAAGTCGTACACCAGGTTGGACTTGGCTGCCTGAACAATTGGGTCTGAGAACGCCCTGCCATGGAAACGCTTGAAGCCTTGCACTGTGTTCTTACAGTTGGTCACCACCTGGACATGATGATTGAGCAGGAAAAGAAAAAAGTTTGAAAACATTCACTTTTTAAAATACAATTTTGTATTTTTAGGCGAAAAATAAAAAATCTAATGCATATAACTTGGACAAATTTATATATACCTGGCTTTTTGCAGCTGCTCCGATTGATCGATTTCTTGGACCAAATGATACAAATGACCTGGGGAAAAATAATAAAATATGAATGTGATTATTATAATCAACCAATTGGAGTTTATCTAAGTAGACATTCAGTTTGTAACTACAAGTAAAACAAAGGTAAAGTTAGTTGCCAGAGGTTACTACACAATATCCTGACATGCCTACACAGAAACTCATGAGCCAAGGCTCAACCCACACACAAACACAACTACAACAATCATTTTCATAGTGTAAAAACACCAAACTTTCCTTTAGTTAAAACCTACTTTCTTTCTTTTTAGGGTACATTGACAGCCATTTTTGATATCTAGTACTGCCTGCCAAATTTTAAAAAGTGGCACTAAGAAATTACATAGTATACAAATAGATTTTGGGATAAACATGTTTATATTCACAATATGTTATCAAAAGAGAGAACATTTTTGGTTTTAGGCACATGTGTCATGTGTTTCACAAAGACACTTAATGGTTTATCAAGGTTTTAAACCATAACAGTCTCAAACTTGAATGTTAAATCATACCAATCATACAATTTAAGGTTTCTTTTTAATTATACATTTTAATTATAGCCATTCAACTGGATGAAAGGAGGCTGCTACTGCCATGTTTACCAGGTGTGGCTTATTTGGAACTATTTACAGGCCCAAAAGAATCACTTAGTTGTGGAGTGGAAAACTGAAGGACTCTGCAATCTTATTCAGGTACTGTATTTTAAAGGCTATATTTGGCAAGACAATATGATATACAAATAATATCATATTTGTATATTTGTGTTACTTAATAAAGACAAAATCAGCTAAATGTATATTTTGAACAAGATGCAATATAAATTCCCAAATAATAGAAAACAAGAGCTTTATTATAACTGTAATAATGTCTTTTAATTTTAATGCAACTATGAACCATTAATGGATCAATATTATATATCGTTTCTCCTATTTCAAATAAATGCATTGAATTGCATCAAATACATCTTAGTGTTGTTTTTTGTTTACAAGTAATAAATATCTTAAGAAAATACTTAAGAAGAGTTAATCACTACATTTTCGGAGGACATAATTGCTAGAATATTCCACCAAAAACTCGACTGATGTCGTCATCGAACGAAACCCTTCACGCAAGACGCACGTTTTGTCACACGGGACACACCGGAGTTTAGGCCTTCAGTGCATGTAAGACAATTAGAACTACAGAAGGAAGCACCGCCTGCGTGGGGTCATCAGGCAACTAAAACACGTTTTCCAACAGTCAGTACCGTTAATAAAACTGATGTGTTTAGCCGTCTAGCTTACAATTGTAGCTCCGGTGGTAAATGTTTTAATATATATACGTTGAATATAAAATCAAAACACCCTTTTGGTTGCAGTTAAGACTCAAGCTCACAAACAAATATATCTTACAGTAACACACACACTGAAATTAAGTTTGATTGATCACACACGGACGTGTATGAAAGTTCGGCAAATAGGTTTAAAATCCGACTTTATTGTGAAGACAACACACAGAAAATGATAAGACATCCAACAAGGTTACTATTTCAGAATTTTAACGTATAAAATTTGCTGTTTAATACTTACGGCGTACATCTGTCGCTGTATTCGTTAGCAACTGTCTCAATTCCTCCAGCTCGGGCTACAGCTACATAGCAGCTCTGAAAACCCAAGTCAAATCCCACCACTGACATCTTCTACAATATGCCCGTCTTTTGGCTGTAAGGTTGTCTGCAGCGGAACTTAAAGTAAGGTTAATGCTTATTTAAACCTTAAAGAGTACAAAAATCCTAGTAGAGTTGTTGTATTGCTCTCTGTTAAAAAGAGATAGTACTCTTCTTAATCCACACCGCTGTTACCGGTGTCCCTGATCTGCACTGGCAACCCTTAGCACCAAGGTAGTTTAACAGCCTTCTCGCGCTCTCGCCGGTAATTCTCGCGAGATGTGCATTATCCAGACGTCTCTGGATTTTTCTATAACCATGTGAGAGACGTTTCTCCAACTCTCTAGCTTTTTTGAGATAGATCCTGAGACTTTTGCGCAGTTTTTACATAATTTCTAAATATAGTATATGGCTTAAATTACAACAGAATTTCTAGATGTGAAAAATATTAATTATTATTTTACATTTAGTGTAAATTAAGTTTTTTTATACAATCAAATATCTCCAGGCAATTCATAAAACAAACAGGCATAATTCTTAATTTAATTCTTGTTAGAATTTGAACTCAAAATTGTAACCAGAAATCAACTGATTTCATTCCACAACAATTCAAACATAAGACCACTTACATCATATGGAAACAGTAAGGTTGTTTTCTCTCTTGTTAAAATATAAAGTGTTAGTCTATGTGGGCCGATGATCTAAAAAGTTGAAATTATTGAAATTAGCTTTATTATTAGCAGTACAATGGATAGAAGAAATAAGACCTTAAAAACTACAAAAAGGTTAAAAAATAATTTGTTCAGAGTCCAGTTCAGCACTAGCCAGTTTAAAATATAGTAATTCAAATAACGAACTAGAATTTTTATTGGAAATACAATAATCATTATTTAGTTGTTGTACCAGTAGCTCGCAGATATTTAAACTTTTGTGTCTTGTTCATGGTACAGATCTTGCAGTTAATAATCATTATTTAGGATATAAATGTTATGATATTGGACTGCACAGTGGTGCAGTTGGTAGAGCTGTTGCCTTGGAGCAAGAAGGTTCTGGGTTCAATTCCCAGCCCCAGTCTCTCTGCATGGAGTTTGCATGTTCTCCCTGTGCATGCATGGGTTTTCTCTGGGTACTCTGGTTTCCTCCCACAGTCCAAAAAACATGTCAGGTTAATTGGCCTCTCCAAATTGCCCCTAGGTGTGAGTGTGTGTATGCATGGTTGTTTGTCTCTGTGTTGACTGGCGACCTGTCCAGGGTGTACCCCACCTCTTGCCTGGAATGTTAGCTGGAGATAGGCACCAGCAACCCTCCCGATCCCACCAAGGGACAAGGGTGTGAAGAAAATGGATGGATGTTACAATGTTTAAGTTCCAACACATATTTGGATTCAAAATACAGCAACATAATACAGGAAAATGCCAACTTTGTGGAGGAAATTAGACAATGTAGCATAATATGAGATAAGAAGGATATTAATATTGAACAAATAAATTTAGAAAAAAATATTTCATTTATTAAGTATATTGCAGAGAATTCAGACACAAAAAGCACTTGTATTTTAATTTTTTAATTTTTTTTTAAATAAGGTTGATTACTAGAATATAAATGAAGACATTTTGAGCCATATTCCATATCATTAGGTAGCATACAACCTTTAACATTTTTTGGCAACTGCCAAAAAAAAAAAAAAAAAAAAACAAGACGACGGAGGTGTCATGATGATGTTGCGACTCCAGTAGGCGCTGTTGCTGTTGTAGACTTTAAGGGTAGAAAAGAAGAAGAAGCTAAACCTGGCAACATGGCGACTCCCATGCACAGAATAATTGCGAGGAGACAAGCGTAAGTATATCCTGTATATTTGGAAGCAACAGTTAAATTATTGTACAGTTTGTGAGCTGAGCTTTCTGTTTTTTTAACACCAACAAAATTTAGGTCGTTAGACGCCATCTTACACGTAGAAAGTCAATACTGACTACAGCAGAGAAAACGGGGAGCGCAGATCCTTCGCTGCTTCTGTTTACAAGATCATTTTTTATTTTCCGTTGGTCTTTTATTTGTGTTGAGGTGCTTATTTAATCTTATAGGTCAGATGTGGAAGTTGTATCGGGAGTAGCATGTAGTAACTGTGGCAAAGAAATATTTTTCATGGAATTTTATTTTATAGCTATACCAAACCATTACATTAATGTGAAAAAACTTATTTAAAACATGAAGATCTACAGACTTCATTCATCTTTCCAATATCAGTCAGTCAATCAGGCAAAAAAAAAAAATAAAATAAAATCATAAATGATACAGCTTATACTAAAAGGCCACTGATTCAAATAAGATTATGCACATAGGAAAAGGATGCAAGATTTTATTATGAATTTAGCCATGTTTGCTCTTGGATAAAAAACTGTTTCTAAAACATAAATAAATGTTTCTATAAAAATAAAAAAATATATTAAAACATTTCATAAAAATTACTAATTTAAATTAAAATAATGCACATGTTCTAGTCACCTACTGTCTTATTTAAAGAATATTTGTCTTTTTTTCTCTCTGTGTACAGGGAGGCAAACAAACAACATGTGCGATGCCAGAAGTGCTTGGAGATGGGACACTGGACATATGAGTGCACCGGGAAACGAAAATATTTGCACAGACCATCAAGAACAGTTGAGATGAAGAAGAAGCTGAAGGAAAATGAAAACAAACCTCTCAGCATCACAGGGTAAGGTCTTCATCCCTTTATGCTAGGAGATATTCTTCCTTTGTGCATCCACTTGTGCACTAAAAGCCTGACTGTAGAACTTTGCAGTGATCATTCTATGTAATAATTCAATAAAAGTATATAATACCCAGCAAATGTCGGAGTTTATTTTAGACCAGTGTAAGCTTTTAATATTTGGATTTGATTGCCATTTATTGATCTGTTTCAATTCCAATTCAAATGTTTTATAAAATGATACAGGCGCACACAAATATATTTTAATGCATTCCTTGTCATTGGCATTTTCCTGTTAGCAGACCAGGAGGAGAAAGCTCCATTGAAAAGAAAATCAAAAAGAAGTAAGTTTATTTTTTCTTTATTTTAACTTAATTAAATTTAAGCCTATTAGGTGTTTGAAAAAGTATATGTACTCATGGATTTCATTTTTATTTATTTCCTTAAATAATTTATCTAACAGACAAACATAAAGTAAATGCAGACACCTCAATTTGCATGTAAAAGAAATACCTCAAGTCCAAATGGTCAGGTCTAAACAAGAGGAAGGAGTAAAATTTTAATTTTTTTTTTTTTTTTTTTATGGTGAAATATTTTAGTGGCACTTGTCATTTATGTACATTAATCATACAGGAAGTGAGCAGAGAAAGAAGGGAGAAGACATGCATCAAAGGTTTAAAGGTCAGGGATTGAACTTCAGGACTGCTGTGTAGAGCACTAAAGCCTTTGTATATAGAGAAACACACTGCACCAATATACATCAGTGATGTCTCATTTGTAATTAATGCTTCATCTTTCTGTGATTAAAAAATGTGAATGCTCATGTTCATCAGCTGACAGGATAATTTGAGCAAGTAATGTAAAAATCTTAAATCAAATTTAAAATTTACACTTGCTTTATTGTATTGAAACATATACTCTTGCTTCTAACCTTAAATTGAAATCAAATCAACTGTTTAAAAAATTATGACTCAACAGCGCACTCTAGTGGAGAATTGTAATAATGGCAATGCTTTAAAGTTTTGGTCTGTAGGAATCTTGATTGTGATTTATGTTCCTGCTTTCAGGAATACCAATAGAAGAAGTCATTCATGCTGTGTTTGTTTGCAATCTTGCTATTTAATACATGTTGATGGATGAAGCAAACCATTTTTAAGGGTTTACATTAATTCTATGTTCTGTTTTTTTTTTTTTTTCCTTTAGCTCATTTAGACCTAATTGCGAATTAGTTGAAAATTGTTATGTTATTTTTGTTTATTTAGAAGCAGAACAATTACACTGGGCTAGTTAGATTAAACATGCTGTAATTTCCTCTTCAACATTTGTGTGTTCTGTATTTTGAACATGTTATGCCTCATGCAGACCTACAGCCCAAAACAACTGCTTAAAAAGATCTACTCAACATTTTCAGAATATCACACTGTTCAACATTTTTAAATGCAGAGCAAATACCGCTTTCTTTACTTTTTGATTATGTCTTTGAAAGTTTTACCTCAGTGATCTATTTTGTTTTTTCTTTGCTCTTGCTGTTTGTTCATTGTGTCTCCAAACACAAGAGTCATAACATGTAGTTTGAGAAAGCTGTAAAATAATTTTCTTATATGGTTGCTGGAAAGAAGCAACACATTTCTGTGTAGGACGGTTGGTCCAGCTTTTATTTCTCTGACATAGACTGTTGTTGGCAATCTGTTCATCATCAAAACACGCATCTGACCATCAAAATGGCTGAAATAAGTCATAGTTGCATATTAGATTATTTACTAAAGACAAAATGTTTATAACTGTTTTTGTTTTATATTTTTAAAGTGATTGTAGAGTACTTTTTGTCAACTACAAATTTGTAAGAACAACTGTAACATTTAGAAAGGTTAAACTTTTTCACCGCTGTCCAGCTCTTTTTAATTTAATACGAGAGTGATAAGAGTCCATGGAACATTCCGGTGAATGTAACAGGTACAGTTACATTTCCTTCTCACTCTGCACTCTACTTCTTGCTCTCAGGGCAAAAGACTTGAGCAACGACAGCAGCAACGACTCAGACGACTCGTCCAGTGACTCATCAGACAGCAGCGACTCCTCCAGCTCCTCTTCAGACAGCGACAGCTCTTCCTCATCTTCTTCCTCCTCCTCCTCATCGCCTTCATCAGAGAGCTCAGACTCGGAAAGCAGCAGCGATTCAGATGAGGGACCTCCAAAAAAGAAGAAAAAGAAGAAATAAACATGTTGGGAATTAAGGAGAAATTTCTTGACAATACTCGGTGTTTCAAATAAATTTTCTTTTTCTAAAAGCAAACCACAGCTGGTTGAAAATTACAGCGGTGTGCTAAGGAGGGTGGGCTAGTCTTGAGCTTTGTTTCCCCTTGAGTTTTAAACGCTTTTCTGCTGTTACTTCTGCAGCTGAGACATTTTCTAATGTTTGTATTTCTAGCAAGAAAATAAACTTTAAAACCTGTCAAGAGGAACACACAATTATTCGAGTTCATTTTTTTTTTTTTTTGTACTTAGTGTTTCCAGATGAGCAGGTTCTGTACAACCTGTCAACCTGTTTGAATAAACTTTAAGATTATAGTGTACGCTGAACAAAATAAATATTCCTACTGTAAAAATATTTTTTTTCTTACTAATAATTAAACTTGGCTTATTGTTTTTGCTTACAAAAGGTGTCTTGCAAAAGTATTCCTACCCCTGTAACCTTCTCAATTTTTTTCACATTATAACCACAAATGTCAACAAATTGTATCAGGTTTCTCTATCAAAATGCAGTCTGTAACTGTGAACGGGAGGGAAAATAACCTGATTTATTATAAATAACCTGAAAATAGAAAATGGCTTATGGCCCTTTATCAAGTCCAAATACTCCAGAGATCTAAAGTAAGATTTTTAATTAAGAAAAAATGATAGCATTGACAATAATCATGCTCTGCTTTGTATTATTCTATCTTAGAAAATTTCTACCAAATCAATGGAAGGTTGTGATTATGACCAGGCAAATTGTGAAAAGGTTCAAAGAATATAGCATGGACCTGTAATTGACAGCTCTTTTTTATGTTAAAACATTTTCTTCCAACTGAAGCAAAAAGCCCTTTGGGTATGTAATTGAAGCATAGAAATATATTCTCTTTTTGTCTTGATTTGGTCTGGTCACAAGCAATGTCTCATGTTGCAGGCAAATCTTTAAAGTGTGTTTGGTGTGGAGGAGGTCAGCCTTTGAGGCTATAGAATCATTTTGGGGCCAAGAGGTCAACGGCAGTGAATGACCTCCAGTGAACTGGTCCTCTATTCAGAGCTGAGACACCCCTTAGCAAAGTACAAAACCTTTTGGTTGTTCTCCACCTTGGGGGGATGTTCACTGATTAAAAGATAAAACTCTCATGTGAATGGTTATTTTTATATTAACTCAAATCTGATTTGAATAAAAGCAAAAACTACTGATTTGAGTGTAGTTTTTTTTTCTTGTCATCAAAATATATTTCTTACGTAATCAGAGGAAGTGATATTAACAGGTTTGTGAAAAATATTCATAGGTATTACTTTACTGCTTTCAAAGACTTCAGAATTACCCACAAAGCTAAATAGACTCATCAGGTTCTTGCAAAATCAACATCCATATTGCATAACTATATGCAAAACGGAATGATGCATATAGAAGCGCATTTGTATTTATTTATTTATTTATCCTTTCATTTATTTCACAAAAGTACGTAACAATCGGAATAGGTCATTCACCTTTATGGTTAAATAACAAGCTCTCAAATGACCAGCAGGGAACAATGAGACGTGCGTGATTCCCTTCTGTACGTCAAAACATGGGCAACCTTTACGTCACTAAAATGCTGCGTTCAAGTGCAAGTGGAATTATCCCAAGTTGCTGGCCTCGAACTCAGTGTAAACAAAACAGGTTTATTTGATTCTCTCAATTAGATAAAGTAATTTTTACTCAATGTAGCCATTGAACACAGTGTTATGCATAAAAACAGGGAAAACGTGCAACGATTTATTCAAATGCGCAGAAATAATTGTAAATAAAAGAAAACAAATTTCAAGGAAACATCTACTGCATAATCCTTAGACATTAAAACCGTTATTTGGAAATACTTTTTAAAATTAATTTAGCAGCGTTTTCACATGTACGATTTTATAGCTTATATACCTTATGTCATATTTTGACAATTTCTCTTATTTCTTGATTTCATCCCTTTTAAATACTTTTTGTCTGCTGAAGATTGGGTTTATTTATTTTTTAATTCTTATTTTGCCCTTCAGGTGCCTGTGTTTCTCATTCTTTTATTTAAATAACAACGGTGTTTAAGCTGTTCAGTATTTTTTCAAAGGATGGTTGTGTTTGACATATTTCTGACGGATAGTGAATGCAACACTGGCTGCTGCCATCCACTCCTGTCTGTTGTACCTGCTTGGCTGCTTAACTTAGCTATCAGTCACTTTTATTTAGATATAAGAATATGAACGACAGAAAAAATGATCCCGTTTTGCTTCTCATTTGGCGTGCAGTTGCGGTTTGAGAAAACCATGGGAACCGTCCGTTCGGTTTCAGTAATTTAGCTGTTTAGCTGAGTCCATTTTGCGTCTAACTGGAAGTGGAAAAAGACAAAGAGAAAAGAGCTTTCCAACAGCTAGAATGGTTTGGGCCTAAAAAGAAGACGAGAGGTAAGAATAGTCACTGTCGGGAAAGGTATCGTTTCTCAAATGACCCTGCTATGTAATTTTGTTACGTTTGAAGTGATTGTTATCTTCAATTTCCGTAAAAAATAAAATGCTTTAAACAGGCTAGCCGCTAGCTTAGCACCTAAACGCCGTTAGCTAGCAAACGTTCTGCTTAAAGACGCAGGTAGTCCTGCGGGTTAGCCTCTTTTTAAACCTAAATTAGGTTAGAAATTGGGTCTTTTTTTACTTCTGTTCATGGGAAACTTTCTTTATTTTACAGCTAAAGTGTAGAGAGTACTTTTGTACGTGTTTTGGGGATTTCGTTGTGGCAAACTGAGTCAAACATTAAGGTGGAAGCTATGTTGTTTTTGTTTCTATAATGTAAGTCTAAAAGCCTCACATTTATGTTTTCTGCATTACAATTGCCTTTTATTACTTGGGAAAATAAATATACACTTTGAGGTAAAGTCACATTGTTAACAGTTAAGCTCAGAATCCGCTGTTGATATATGTATAATGTACAAGATTATGTAAGAGCCCCACTCTGGATACTCCCAAAGTCGGTAAGAGGAATTTGCAAGTTTATTTTACATACATTTGTTTTGTTTCTCCAGTTCTATGTGCAGCCAATTAAAATTCATACTGATGCAAAAGTATAATTTGTTTTTGGAAGGAAAGCTGACTTCAGTTTCTAGGAAGCCTTTTTAAGCGATGCACTGGGGGAAGGGCCAGAGCATGCACTACAAGTCTGAAGTTCCCTTTTGTCAGTTAAATACATAAGTCAGTAACTTGATGCAGTCATCAGAGTTTCCTTAGACAAAGCAACCTCTGTCATCTGGCTACAGTTGTCTTAATCAATCACCCAAAGATTGAAATCAGCCAATTCTTTTGAATGTTTTGAATGGATTTTGTTAATTCCACTGCAAATCGGTATTCACTGAGAAAAGCGTCTCCAGATTTGAGATTATGTAATCAGCTGAGTTTCACTGTAATATAATGTAATTATAGTTGAATTAGACTTTGTGTCTCTAAATAACTGGATTACATTGGCATAAATTTGATTTGTGTAATTATATATTTCTGAATAATTGGATACAAATTTGACTTGTAAAATACTTTAAGATGTAAAGTTTTGAAATGACATGTTAATAGAAAAGGTGATGTAGATGTTTAAAACAAGCATAATTGACTTCAACACAACAATTTATAGGAAGATATTAAAAAGAACAGGTGTGCCACATGAGCAAAAGTTCCTTACCTGTTGATTTTGGTTGACACCTCCCTGGTTGGGTCATTTTAAGGTCAGGGACTGTTATGGCAGGTAGATTTGAACCCTCACAGATTTAATCAAGACAGAGCTTAGACATAAGCCGTTTGGATGATAAACAGTCCCGTGTTGAAGTCTGGTGCCTTATTAAGTGGATTAAACATTACCCTATTCAGAAATTTGACTAGTTAAAATAAGAATAATCAACCAGAGATTAAAATTGGCCATTTTTTTTCATTTGATCTAATCTGTAATTTGTAGGTCAAGAACTAAAAAAAAAAAATCTGAACTTAAAAAATAGTCATTTAAGGGGCACATGCTTGAAAGGGATTTTTTTTTCCACTTCTAGATTTAAAACTACTACCTGTATCAAAAAATATTGAGCACATTTACTATTTTACACATTAAAGTTCTCAAAATCAGCAGGTGAGCTCTTTGGTGGAGTGAAATTAAATCTGTATGATCAGTTTTTCTCTAAATCCATTTTATTCCACCTGAAATCATTATATTCCCAGTTTATGATGGTAGAAATGTACCTTGTCAATGTTCAAACGTCCTATTATTGCATGTTTGTACAAAGGCAAAAATTAGCAACAGTTCTCCTTTCACTTTTATGTTTTTCAACACCATGATTTGGCAAAGAAAGTTATCTAGGGTTAATGGCATTTTATCACACTTATTGAGCAGCAACATGCTCTTGCCAAACTTTGAAGGTTTGCTTTGTTTTATACTACTGGAAAACAAAATTGAAGTTCTTTGACTGATTAATTGAGCCATGTTAAGATATTTCTAAATGAGGTCTTTGACAAATTTGTCAAAAATATTTAACATATACTTTAAAGTCAGATAAGCTGTTGATTAAAAATAGCCAATTGTGTAACAGAGGTTAGTTTTCCATGCAGTTCTCTGAAGCCTGGGTATAACAGTTTGTATTTGCTTGCACTGAAGACAAATGCAAAAGCAAAGTAAGATTAATGCCAGATGTTAACTTCACCAGATGATTTGAATGATACTAACAAAAACAAGCAGCTAAAGCAAACAACACATTAGTAATGTGTAACTGTGCTCCCTGTGACACGGCTCGCACTGAATTCGCATCCTGTTTAAATTTTGCCTGGGGGCTTCTGTCAAGCTGTTTCCCTTGTTGCCACGGCAAAGGGCACATGCTCTGTGAAGATGTTTCAGTGATTTGTTCGTCCAGTCCAGACGGCGCACAGAGTGTGTGTTTTCTTTGGCTTTGAAACAGTTGGTGTACACTACAATGCAGTTTTCCTGACTGAAGGTTTTGGAAATAAGAGATGCTCGGTTCAGGCCAGATTTCTAAAAGACAGGATAGATTACCTTTTTGTTAAAAGTTGGATTCAGTTTAGAGGTTAAAATCATATTGTTTTCATAATGCAAAGACAGCTGATACTTCTGAGCATCGGCTGTCAGAATTTAATTAAATGTTGGTAAGGTTATGTATTTAGGTCTATAATCAAATAATATTTCTTTAGCTTGACAGGGGTAAGTTGCTTGAGTTGCTCTCGCAGAGTCTGCCAACTCAATTAGTCCAAATCTTATCAGCATCAGTAGCTGTATTTTTTTTTCAGTCTCTCAGAGCTCTTGCTCACACAGCAGAAAAATCTGCAGCTCTCTGTGTCCTGACCTCGTGCATCTGTTCTTCTGCTTTTGTTC